ATAGAGGAGAGAGAGAGAGAGAGAGAGAGAGAGAGAGAGAGAGAGGTAGCACGCTTGAACTGTCGTCTGAGATGCTTCCGTGAGGCTGTTCTGCTACTGGATGCACAAACCGCCGAACGGAATCGCCAAACGGAATCTCTTATAGCAACGCACCTCGCCGCCGAATTGGGGAGGAGTTCGGAATTGAATACGGGTTAGGAAAAGCACAGGGCGAATAGATAACAGCCGGCTCGTGTTGTTGTGCTCTGCCCCGTAACCACAAACACCTCAATCGTGTCGACGAAGAGTGCCCACCAGCCCCCCCCCGCCGTGCACAACAACGTCACCCCCTCCCTTTCCCGTGCCAACCCGCCCGTGCCAAGAGAACAGCAAACAATACAACAGCCAGCGGACTCTCCCCAGCAACTGCTGCGCCTGCCTGCCGACCCCTCCGCGCTGAATCAGCAAACGATGCGATCGCCTGAGGCTTTTTCTCACCCGTCGAAAACCGGTGTTGCTACCGCGCTGTCCCCCCCCACGTCTACCAGCGACGCCGTCGTCCTCCCTATGGAGAAGCACGGAAGCACCCCGTCTTTCGACACGAACTCCGCCGGAACGCCGAATTCCTCGAACATCATTTCCTGATAGGACGGGGGGAGAGAGAGATGTTTGCACAGCCGATAGGACGGGGGTGACTAGATTGTTGTGTATCGAAGATATGGGGACATCGACATTCAAACGGGCATGATAATCTCAGCGGCAGGAGGTGCATAGTCGGGTTGCACTTATCTTCGCGGCAGGGGAGAGGGAGGGTATGGCCGCGTTGCACAACCCTTGGCTCGTGCTCCATTAAGCGGGGGGAGGAGGCGCGATATTATGGTCCTACCCAACAGGCAACTCCGGGATACCCACAAGTACACACGTGCCCGACTCCTTGTGGGGATAGCGAAGGCCTACATGATGCTGGTCGAGAGAAAAAAACACAAATGCAAGAGGAATCTAGAGAGTACACGTCGGGTCCTCATCCCATGCTCTCCCGGGTTCAATGCGACACGAACGTGTTGGTTGTCCACATCACACATTAATCGTTCTCGTTTCGGGGGAGCTCGTGAAATGCCCCCCGCACTCACGAACAATACTCAGGCACGGCGTCCTCAGCCAGCCAGTCGAAATAGCTAAACACCGCTTAGACATTGTCGATACGAAAAAACGAAGGACAAACATCAACAACAGCTACTACAATGACGACGCCGATGAGCACAAGCACGAGCATGGACAGCTTTGTCGGCGCCTAGCCACTGTAAGCAGAGCAAAGGCGGGTTTCTCACCGTGTACATCATCCTCTCCTTCGAAGAGTTGAAAGGCTTCTCCGAGATCAGGACCTGGTGGTCCGACAGCTTCGTCTTGAGTCGAGTCCGCTCGGCGTGCTCCCACACCTTCTCTATCAGGTCCCAGTCCGTCACTGGCACCCGAGCAAGCATGACAGATACATAGCGTGGAGACAGAGAAGACACATGCCGGCGGCGTCTGTGACGTTGCTTTGTCCCAAAAAATAATGAAAGCCGTCGCTGGTTCGCGCTACTGCTGTTGCTTAGGAATCAATGATCGTGTGCTGGCTATCGACGCCGTCATCGATACAACGTGATTCGCTTGCATCGAAATTCATCGAGGGACGTATGCGTGTCAAGCAATCCAATCGGTGCTGCCAGCCCTGCTGCTGCGCAAGAAGAAACATCACACCACACAAGGGAAGCGTGTTACATTTGTCGGGGTGCAACCGCCAACCAACCCATCGGTACAACCGTGTGGTCACAAAGGAGAGAGACTCATGCCGTTAGGGCCATGCTTCACAGCACTCTGAGCAACTCTCTCTCAGTTTCCACACGGCCAAACAGGGTATCCTGGAATCTCGACCAAAAGATCACTCATTGCGAGAAAGAATCAAAAAGAAAAATAACCATCTCTCACCGAACCCGTCCTCCATAAGCGGCAACACGTCCATGTCCGCCCCGCCGCCCATCAGATATCCCGTGCCATCGATAAACCGTCCTCCCGTCCCCCCCGTCCTTCTCCTCTCCGTTCGCGGCGCCCCCTTCTGATTCCCCTGAGCCCCCCGGCACGGCCGGCGAAACTGCGGCCCCCTTGCCTCCCCGCTGGGGCTGCCCGTTGGCGGGGGGGGAGGGTGCCACATTCGCCTTGCCGTTGCCCCCCCCCGCTCCCCCCCCGCTTTTGCTGGACTCCGGGCGCTGTCGACGGCCGCACCCATCTCTGCTTCTAAGCGCCGCGTGGCCTCCAAGTCTACCGTTCTGCCAATCAGCTGTTGTCGGTGGTGCTTTGATGGGGTGCGGGGGGGATAAAAGGTCGGTATAGTCTAATGAGTACATTGCACATGTTAGAGCGTGCCGTGTTTGTTGGTGTTGGTGTCCGAGGCATTCTCTCGTCAGGTTCAGAAAGGGGAAGGTGATAACTAGCACACAAACGCCTGATAGGGATACAGGAACCAGTGCGAGGGGAAAGTTGGCATGCACGCATGGACCGCGTCACTGTCGGGGCCACGCCAATTGCATCCCACCCACCCCTCACATTTCCTCTCTCCGAATGCCACACGGCGGTGCCCCCTGGTTCGCTTTCTTACCGACGTGAGGTAGGCCCTGGGAAAGTCCTCGCCCGCGAAGCCCATCTTGCACGAGTATGATCCGCCATCCCCCACAACGGCTCCGACATCGTCTGCATGGAAACGGGGTGCGGGGGAGGGGGGGAGGGGTACTCATACCTACGCATGCCGTTGTCGTTAGATCATGGGGAGGGCTCAATTGGTGCGTTCCTTGATAGTACGTTGGCCGTTGGCCACTCACCCTTTTCGGCACGGAGCGCCGATCCCAATCTTACAGTCATTAAAACAACCCCATCAATTTCGTTTCACTATACGTAGCATGGGTGTTGACCGCGCTACAACCGGCTGACCAATAAACAGACGTTGGTCAAATAGCGGGACACCAGACGGCCATGTGTGTGAGTCTTGTGATGCTATCCCATTTAGCCTGGAGGTGCAGTAATTTGTTTCACCTCTTGGCATGGTTTTTCGGACGCACCCGGCCGGGGTTACACAGCACAACAAAGGCCACACACGCGGAGGCTCTGAATGTTTGAGACTTCGTGCGGGGGAGAGGAGGTGGAGGCCGGAGGTCAAACGACGGTCTGTGGGACAGAATCACCTGCTTTCGACGCGCCTGACATGTGCTTTGAAAATCAAACACGCACTTCACAAATTCACTCTAGGTTGGTTATGCGAGGCGGCTGCTCTAGACTACGGATCGATGATTCTACATGCGAGAGCGTTCGCTGCCGTTGCTTAATTCAAGATGACCGGTGCCCATGGACTACTTGTAATGTAGGCAGAACAACAACCGTGTGTTGATCATGTCGAGTCCAATAATGTCGTAAGATAGCCCATCATCGCAAGCTACAGCATACAGCAGAGGATAGATTACAGGTGTGTGGTGCCGGCGGCTGAACTCAGTTTATACCCACATCTATTATAGTCTAATCTAGACTAGACTACTTGTTGTTTTTCCGAGAATCTGACCCTCGCTTTCTTGCGAGGACAATTGGACACGGGCTGGCACTGCATACCTATCCAAGCAACGCGCATGATTGCTATGGATAGTGGGAGGATCTTGCGACCATCAAACACGCATCAGAATCTTCTACTCCCACCACCGGCATGCTGTTGTAAGCCAAACGAACGTCTCCTGATCCTCTGCACGCGTGAACAAAAGATATGCCCGGTGCCTCTCCATATAATCTCTCGGAGCACACGACATGCCGCATAGAGCAAATCAAATGCGAGTCCCGGCATACCCCAAAGGCGTCAACCATCAACCGCGCTGTGGTCTCTCTACACCCTCAGAAAAGCTACAGGCAGTATAGTCTACACATGATCTCCTCCCTCGCTTACAGTTGAACACCGAGAACAAAACCGCGTGCCCAACGGCACGGAAGACAAACAATGGAGATGTGTTAGATGATGACAAGGTTCTCGAGCTCCTTTGTTCGACTTGGCGTTCTGTTTGCGCAAGACCAGCAGGTTGGGCCTAAACCACGGGGCGGAGGAATACAGCCTAAGACAGACGTGACACGAGACGAGGAACAAGCAGTCCATCCGTAGCAGCCGCCTTCTTCCGCCGTTAGGCAACCCTACGATGCCGCAATCTAACGTTGACTCACATGTATATATGTATGTATATGCTACCCACGAGCGCCCAGCCGAGTCTGATCGGGAAAGATGACCGGCGAGAGACAAATGAAGCCAGCACCTGCCAGCTGCACCGCGGCGCTCCATGCTCTTGTTCGAACTGAGTGAGCCAGCCAAGAGCCAGCCCGGCGGGGGGTCAGTGTTGGGAAAGGAACGAGCGGAGGGGAGGGGGATCCGGAAAATCATGGTCCGCATCTGATCACCTGCATACCTTTTCGTAGTTACAAGTACTGCGTACCTTGTTTAAGTCTGCTGCGTACTACTGCTGTACACACGCAGCCTTTGAGTGAGACAAGTAGAGGTCTATACAACATTGCACACAGCATCATGATGATGGCAGAAAGGAACGGAAGAAATGAACCACATGGATGGCAATGGGTGGGTGTGACATATGAATGAAGTAGACGTTAGCATACAGTCTACATCAGCTGGCGGGCGAAGGGCGAAAAAATGATCTTCATATGCATATATATTTGTTCGGTTGTTCGGTTTATAGGGCTAAAATCGGGAACACGTTCCAGTACTAAAGGGGTTGGCGGGGTTAAGTAGGTCTTTCTCCCCGATTGACGAATCCGGGGGGTTCGATGCCTTCCCCAAGCTATCGTGTACCACAGTCAAACTTTTTTTCCCGGCGTACACTGCTGTGTGTCTAGTCCACACGATATGGGGAGAAGCCGGCAAATTTTGAATGATACCGACCGGGACGACAGAGCTTTTCGGAGTTTAATTACGCGGGCGAAGCCCGCCAATTATTACTTTGGAATAGACAACATGCCAAGTAGGCCCAAAGTTAAATGGAGACAGCTGATTGGCGGACGCCAAGTGAAATCTGTCCCGGTGGGTTTTTTGCTGCCGAGAAGTCTTCTGGTCTTCAGGCCCAAATTAAGCCTCATCATGCTGGTCGCGCTTCCTGGTATTATTGCAGATTATTCTGCTTAATATATATATCTATATAGTATTGATGCATGCATCCATGTGGCGCCTACAGTAGTAGTAGTAGCAGCAGTGGCGGTCCGATGGTGAACCACTAATCTGCATGATGACCCCCAAGAACAGCGGCACAACAAGTTTTGGGTCCGATTCGCTCTCCTCCGGATGGGTTTTTTCCAAGGATCGGATATACATACTCGAGTATATATTTCCAGTGTGTGGTTCACAGTGTCCGCGAGGATGTCATGTTGAATAATAAGGATATTATGTTGAGCAATCACAGATAATATTGTCCGCGAGGACATCATGTTGAACAAGGATATTATTATGTTGAATAGATGAATATGTTTATTCACTGTTATTACGGTATTATTCATGACGTAGAGTATTAGTCTAGTCACCATCTCAACCCGAAAGGAAAAGGGTGATGGGCCGACGACTGACTCCTCTGCTTCTCCTCTTGCGTACAGGTACACTTCGAAGTTCTTCTTGCCTGGGGCTCTTTTTCCTTACCCAGTTTTTACTTTCTTTCTCTTTTCCCATTCATTCTTTTGCTCATTTTTTTGCCAGGTTCCATCGGCTCCCGGTTCCTTCAGGTCGTTGTTGCTAATACCATCACCACGGCTTTTTCTTGGAGGATTTTTCACTTGTTCACCATTTTTCTTGTTTTTCGCTAGGAACTTGGGGTACCCCTTCTTTGGGCAGTTGGCTTGTGACCACGGAAGGCGTCCGCGCAAGTTGGACCAGTTTGGGAATAAGTGTTCATAAATAATGAAGACATCCAGACCATTTTTTTTCTTTTTTTCGAGAGAGAGACACCACCCCGCCCGGGAACGATTCCATTCCCTCAGAACCCGCAGGAACAACGAAAAAAACGACAAAAAGCGAAAAATACGTCTCACAGGTTCATCTAATTTACAAACTACCAATTACCACACCACCGACACGCCAGCCGATAATCGAAACATGGCTCAACAGGAAGCTTTAAAAGGAGATGAGTGTCACCGAAAGGAACCCAACTGCGAAAGGAACTGAAAAAGATGCATGCACCCCCTCATGCAGCCGACAAGCAAGAAGCCCAAAAGAGTTTCACCGTCACAAAAATAATCAAAACCAACTACTAAACACAGGGAAGAGCAGCAAGATATCATCTACACACATGCGCGAGAGGTAGAGTGACATCAGGCAGCAGAGCAGGGCCAGGCAAAAGACATCCGGGATCCCGAGACAAGGAAGGCGGCCGAAACTGTCATCTTCGGCCTCTCTGCGGGACACACCCACCACGCGCTTGCTGCATTGTAGCAGCGCTCGGTGCAACACCCAAGTTCATAGGCCATGTGTACGTGGTTATACACCCAAGCAGGCCCATGCAACGTTCCTCCTGCGCCACACGGTCCAACCACACACTCGACAAGCTTACTGGAGACAGTACCAACCGAAATAACCTCTACACCCAAAGATCTCGCAATTACTTCTCTCACGATATTTTGCTCCTCCTGTCCCTTGTCTGTCGGCCTCTTGTCGCTCTCGGTCTGTTCCGTGCATCCACCACTCGCTTTGCGACGCGCGGTCCGATGAACAACCAGCCCCACCACCTGAAGGAAACCAATAACTAGGACACGGGGCACGACCAAGGATATTCTACGCGACAACGCGATATGTAGCAGACACCACACAAACGTAAACTTCGAAACAACGCCGTGGCCATAAACTCAGCTAAACAGGTCGAAGTACTACATGGTGCGCCAGGCGGTGACACAGCGGCAGCTATCGCCATCCGTGTCGTGACAGCCCCATGATTGTCACGACAGTCCCGCGAGGAAGCCAATGCAGACGAGAGCGGTCGAGAAGGCGCAGAGCTCGGTCAGCAGTCGGCAACGCGACTCGTGCTTCACCTGTGTCCGAACACCACCCCATGAAAGAAATTCAAGCAACGAACGACAACACGGGAGAATGGCACAACGATGCTTGTGAGCAACAAACACGTTTGACAAACTCCATTATCACTCACCATTGTCAATGTAGTCAGGCGCTTGAGGAGAGAATCCCCCGATTCAGGAAGCCCCGGATAAACGCATAACGCCCAGAAAAAATGATACCAATAACCTTCAAGGTTGACAGGACAAGCTTTCCTCGTCCCAAAGCTGTCCAACAAATACTGAGCGACGACTGCATCGAAGATACAGACCCGCATGCACAGCGTATACCCTCCCCACAGCACCACGTAGGAACTGGCGTCCAGACCACTCAAAACGATGATGATGAGTGGCTCCGTCGCGTCGGGGATCCGCGGTAACCTGAAACACGAAGGGAACGATGTGCGACGGACAATCGACCCCCCTCTCCTACTGCCCTACATGCCTCTAGCTTTCTCTCACCCTTATCAAGCACCACGCCCTCAAGGGGCTAGTCGCGCGGCGAAACAGGCCGATCCCGCCGCCCGATGACGACGGCATCTCCATGCGCGAGTAGGGGAGCTTATCCAACCCGGACCCTCGGCTGCCGCCGAGGCCTCCTCCTCCCATCATGGGAACTCCGAGCCCGCTGCCGCCGCCTACGATCGAAGAGGAAATGTTGCTGTTGATCGAGCTGCTAGCCATCGTCGACATGCTGGAGCAGGAGGCGATGTGCTGGAATCCTCCCGCCGCTCCCGGGCCTGCGTCCAGGCCCGGGCTCAACGAACCGTCGGAGCTTCCGCCACCATCGTAGATGCGCAGGTGCTCGTTTTCCACTCGTATAAAGCCCCACATGGTCCTGCCCTCGCGCAGCGGAGCGAGAGGTCGATACGTGGCAGCATGTCCGAGAGAAGGGTGGGCTGAGCTGTTCGACATCGGAAGCCTGCAAAAACTGCCGTGTAGAGAGCTTGCTGTCGTTGGGCATGTGGCAAAAGGCGTACCTAGGTGATAAATGGACTAGACACGACCAACAACGACACCAACATCGCCAACGACAACCACGACAGCAACGTCACCCCCATCACCAACACTACCAGCACAGGCACAAACATGGCCCACAAAACGAACCTAACAACAATGCCAGCCATACCAACACCAATATCATCATCACGGTCTAAGCACCGACCATCTTGACTTCCCGCATGCCCCCGCTCCCCTCACTCACCTCCGGACGATCTCCGCTGCCGCAATGAACGGGCTGAGGTAGATCTGGAAGTCGTGCGGAAACAGGTTCGGCGCGTTCTCAGGAACCAGCGTAACGGTCCACAGGAATCGAAGAAGCAGGTTCACCACTGCCACGCTTGTGTACAGCGTCTTGTTGCGGTAGAGCAAGCGGGGCCGCAAGCGGAGCGATTTCCCATCCCTGCCCAATTCAGTCAAAATGGANGGGGGGGGGGGGGGGGGGCAGCAGAGAAATTTCACAGTGGGAAGGTGGGCGGGAAACGATGGTCGAATGTTCTCGTCGTGCGTGTGGTGACTGCGACTCCGCGGGGAATTGCCCAACATATACTGTGGGTACGTGGCACATGCCTACAACCAAACGCAGCAACCGCAAAAAAATCTAACAAAGGAAACAGAACAAAACGAGCCAGCGGTTCGGACCGAGATCACCACCCGAGCGGATCTATAAATCTAGTGGGAACAGCTTCAAGCATTGCCGGGCGAGCTACACACCCGCCGCACGTACGGTAGCGACACACACCACCGCCCGACAGCAAACTAACGACGCTCACCATCGCAGCAGGTCCCAATCCATCACCACGTCCCACGAGAACTGGTACAGCGTGGCGAACACGAAGCAGAAGACCCACACCCAGCTGCTCTTCATCTGCGGTTGGAAGGTGCCGAACAGCGACACCGACATGGCCGTCGCGTATTTGAGCGCGTTCCCCAGGTGTGGCCACCTGTGAAAGCGAAGTGTTGAGTAAATGAAAAGTGCTGGTGCCGGGGGTATACAATTATGAAAGAGGGCTTTGGGATTAGGGATTCTTAACAACGGGCTTGCGCGAGCGCGTTTCCTCAACACTCTCTGTTAGCCGCAGCTGTGGGCAAAGCCCGCACACCAAGCGCCTCTCATGCCATGGCCTCTGTCATGGCGTGACGATGTTGACATAGCTGAAGGAGGATGGCCGAGAAAAGGCTTGTCCCTCCGGTTGGAGGAAGAGCTCCTGGCGGCCACACAGATTGACTCCTCTGTGGCGCACCTTTCGTCCAATGCGCTAGACATGTAACGCTGTCTGGGTAGTTGGTCCAGTTGGTTGGCCCATTGGACGAACAGGAGAGTGCTTGCCGCCGCCATCTTCGAAGGGATAAGGTCTCAGCATTGCACATTCGAACACCCCTGGTGTAGGGTGATCCCCGCGGCCAAAACGGAGGAAGACTCTTCGGAAAAAAAAAATCGAATATTTCGGAGATTCCAACCGTGCGCGATTGGTGACTCACCTCTGTCTTGTCTCGTACGATCTCCGGAGATTCTGTTGGAAACGCCACCACAGCGGCGCAACCATCAGCAACGGCACCAGCAGGTTCTGGAACCAGGGGTCGCTGCTGATGGGATCGTTCGAGAGGTCGAGGCCGTTGCCGAGCCAGCCTCTCACGCCCGACAAGAAGTAGAGGAAGGCGAAAGCCACGTCAATCAGCACCCTCACAACGCTGTTGACGGAAGGGCGAGGCAGGCAGATCGACACACACGAAGAGGGGGACGGGGGGACAGGGCGGGGGAGGGGGNGGGGGGGGGGGGGGGGGGGGGGGGGGGGGGGGGGGGGGGGGGGGGGGGGGGGGGGGGGGGGGGGGAGAAGGAAAAGGAAAATTTCACGGCGGGTGGGTAAAAAAATGCTCGTTCATGAACACTGATGTCACAGCAACGCTGCGCCCCACAGGCACCACGACGCCTAAATCACTTGTACATGGGTGTGTGGTGCACAGATACTCCCATGCTTTTACAACCCCGTGCCTACGGTGAGACCCACAGGTACACCGCCGGTGCTTTAGTCAACTCATTTCGGCTCTTCCCGTATCGTTTGTTGACTGTGCCGTGGTCAGATATGTGCTGCAACTGGTGCTCCTGTAACAGCAACAGTAACAGCCCCGAGACACCACCTGGCTACGTCCTCCTTAACGTCGACAATCTGAGCACGAGGGTTAGGTATACATAGATGTACGTGCATACATACATCGCTCTTGGGGACTATTTCTGTACGTCATATCTTGTCCAACAGAGAAGAAATACCTTTCGCAAAGACTCGTCATTGTGGTCGTAGCCATGCCGAGCGTCTTCAATTCTTCTTCGTTACAATCGCCTTGCCACTGTCGCCGTTTCAGCATGATAAAACACGCATCAACAGCACCATTGCATGACGCACCAGCGACCAAGCAAGGCAACAGCAACCCCAAACGCACCTGGTGAGGATATCGCCGACGTAGCCCTCCAGGAATCGGACCTGTCCGAAGGGCGAGATTATCGTCGTCCACAGGACTCGCAGGAGCCCCTTCCGTTCATGCCAAGGTGTCTGGTAGTAGGGGGGGGGGGGGGGGGGGGGGGGGGGTTTTTTTTTTTTT